GGTGAGCATGACGGGGGGGGCGAGGGGCTCCTCGCCGAACCCGGGGAGGGCTGCGGTGCCTGCGGGGTGCCCTTCTGTGCCAGCAAGGCCCCCGGTGTGGGTGAGGCTCATGCTGGTCGTGGGAACAGGCGGGTGCAGGGGTGCCCTGTGCCCCCAGGAGGGGGGAAGCAACTCCCCCAAGTTGGATCCTGCTCCCAGCACTCCATTTTCATTGTTTTTAATTCCCTTTAAAGAGAGGGGGAAGGAAGGTCTTCTCAAATCATGTTTTCCCAGCTGCTGGGAGAGCAACACCTAGAGCTGATATGTCACATTGTGGGGGGGGATAAGAGATTTTGTTATTTCTTTTCACTTTATAAGCAGTAAAAGGGCTCCTCCGGCTTGTTTCCAGTTTGCTTACTCAGTGCTTCATGCATTTGACAGTTTTTGGTGCATAGGCAGTTTCTTCTATTGTTTGCAGGGATTTTTCCAGAGGGGAAACTTTTTTTTAACATTACAAAACCACAGAAACTGGCAGGAGGAATCTAGGGGAGGTACCGAACTGGAAACAGTTTTAAGGAAAAAGAGGAAAAAGAAAAGAATGAAAGCAACAAGATTAACCAAATAATTTTGAGAGGACCTGGGAACATGTGTCCTTGTCACTGTGTGGCCGGGCCGGGCCGGGGCTGGGCATGCACTGATGTTTCGTGGTGGAAAGCAGCGTCCCCAGACGCAGGGGCTCCAGAAGCTGGATCTGCCCTGGGTTTCCTCCCTCCTGGCCTGTCCCGATACCTCTGCGGAGCCGCCTCGCTGGTGTGGCAACGCCTCGCCACTCTTGCACCAGGATTTGGCCCCAGCCCTTGCCAGGAATGGGGTTGGCTAATAGTTTGCGGCTTGACAGGCACCAGGAGCGGTGCCCATAGGACTTCGTGGGGGAGGACATGCCCAGTGCCCATCCCCATCCCACCGCTTGCCGTGGCGTGCGCCTGCTTCGCACTGGCCACTTCTGTGCCCAAACCACCGGTGGAAAAAGCCTGGATGGTTTTTTTTTTTCCACTGATAAATGGCAGTGCTGTAAGGCATTTCTTTCCGGGTATTCTTTCCCTTTCTCTTCCCAGCCAGCTGAATGAGCTGTTTTCCCTCCGCCTGGCCCTGACCTTCCTGCGTGCTCGGCCATGGGCTGCTGGAAGCCGCTGGCGGGGAGGAGCGGGCTGGCAGGGGCCGCCCCTGCAGGGAAACGGGTGTTGGATGTGCATGGCACGGGAAGCGGCTGGGGGGAAAAAAAACGGGAGGCGGGTTAGCTGGAGAACTGCCAGTGCTGGGTAGTTTTTCCTCTCTTAATTAACAAAAGGAAAACATCAGGCTCTCCTTTGGAGTATGTTTTTGCTTTGGGGTAGAGGCACGCTGCTGATGGCGAGGGGAAGAGCTGTCAGTGAGGACGGGCTCTGCAGCTTGGCAGTACCCGGGAGGTTGGTGCTCTCGGCGCGATGCCATGCAGTAGCTGGAGAACTGCCAGTGCTGGGTAGTTTTTCCTCTCTTAATTAACAAAAGGAAAACATCAGGCTCTCCTTTGGAGTATGTTTTTGCTTTGGGGTAGAGGCACGCTGCTGATGGCGAGGGGAAGAGCTGTCAGTGAGGACGGGCTCTGCAGCTTGGCAGTACCCGGGAGGTTGGTGCTCTCGGCGCGATGCCATGCAGAAGCAGCCGAGTTTGGTGTTTGTGGCTGGGGTTTTACTTCCCCCCAAGTCCTCATCTCAATCCTGTTTGCACACAGAGTATATAAACACCACGGCTTGCCGTCAAGCATCGTGTTCCCTGCACTGGCAAGGCTGAGTTTGCCTGTGTGCAGGAGCCTGAACTCATGCAGCTGCCTTCGCGCCGGGGGCTGATGCAGTTTCCCGTGGTCCCTGACCATCGATCCCCCGTGATGCTGGTCCATGCTGTGCTGGTTTCCTCTGCACCTGATGTGTTTCTCTGCTGTTTCTTTGCAGGCCAAACCCATTTATGGCGGCTGGCTGCTGCTGGCCCCGGAAGGAACGGACTTTGACAACCCCGTCCACCGCTCCCGGGTAAGCGAAGCCGAGATGCCCTCTCCCCGTGCCGTGGGTGGGGGTGGCAGGAGGAGCGGCGAGGGCCTGTCCCTGCCCACAGAGGTGGCTGCAGCCCCGGGAGTGCCGCAGGCACCTCCATGTAGCCATCCCCTTGTGCAAACCAGGAGGCTGGGAGATGTTTTCTGCAGCAGGGCTTGAATGCCTTCTCCGGGATGTGAGGTCTCCCATGCTGGGCAGCAGGCTGGGGCACTGCAGGTGCTGGTCAGGCTCAGTCCGTGCAGTTTTATTGCTTGCTGCTGTTGCTTTTTGATGCCTTGATGCTGCTCTGGTTGGGGTCTGGTTGGCCTGACACATGCCATGCTGATGGGAAGGCTCTCAGGCTGGCGGGATGTGGGCTGTGTGGCTCTGAGCCATGCTAGGACGATCAGCAAGGCACCAAGTTTCCCTTTGGTGCTTGGAAACAACTACTTTATTTTCTGCAGCTCATCACGGGCGTGCCCAGAGCCCTGGAGGGAGACCGCATCCCATCCCCTAATGCGGATACCCCTGTGTCAGGCAGGTCCTGCAGCAAGGAAGGGGCTGAGAGGTGATTCCCATTCTCTATAACCCTGCGGAGCTCTGAAGCCGAGTGCGCTGGCAGCAGAGACCCGCAGACAGAGCGGGGCACACTCAGCTCCTGCCCAAAGGGGTTTGCTCGTGCCTTGCAGAAACAGCAGCATCGTGTGGGGTTGGAGCATCCCCCACTTTCTTGCCCTGGGGGGTGTGAGGCCCAGAAGGAGGTGGCCAGGTTGATGTCCTTTCACCGCTGGCTTGTGACGAGGACTCCCAGCCTGTCACCAAGCTGCTCTTCCAGGGAGCTTGCTGCTGAGGCCACGAGGACAGGGCTGTCTTGTGCGTGGGAGGGATGGCAATGGTCCGTGAACCCTCTGTCACACAGCCAAAATGCTCTCGGAGCTCCTAGTAATAAAAAAAAAATCTCTCCTGAGTGAACAAGAATTGGGTTCCGAGTTCAGCCTGGGGTTTATGGGTCATTATTTGGAGTCGCAGCTAGTTGCAGGCTTGCTGGCCCAACATTGTGGGGACATGGGACTCGGGTCCCCCCTGGAGTGGAGGCTGCCTGCTAAGCTGGGGCATGCAGAGGTCCACAGGGTCCTTGATAGTTTTGCTTGTCCCTGAGCACCTTGGACTTTGCCCGAAGGGCTGAGAAAAGTGAGATAAGAATTTCTGCACCGGGGCTATGAATCTAGGACCTTTTTTATTTCAGCCTGCTCAACCAGTTTTTGCTCTTGGCTGAAAACAACCTGGCACGCACAAAAAAAAGGCAGTTTTCCAGCCAGATCAGTTCTCCAATCTGGTTTGCTGTGTGGCTGCAGAAGCAGCAGTGCCAGCGTGGTGCTGGGGGAGGCAGGACTGCCTAGGCAGTGCCACCCCTGGAGGTGCAGCCACCATCCAAATCCAGCTGATGCACTGCTGGGGGACATCTAGCGTGACACCCTGTCACCCTGCAGGACCGGGTGCTGGAATAGACCACACAGGATGAAGCTGAAGGCTGGGAGCACTTAGCTGGGGGATCCTTCTGGTGTCCTGCAGGTCTTGGGTCTCTTGGAGAGCAGTGACAGGGCTTGTGGGCGTCCTTCAGGAGAGGAGGAGGAGGAGGAAAGTCCTGATTCCAGCCTATAGCTGGAGTCTTTTGTCTCTGGTTATTTTTGTCCCCTGTATGGTTAAACCAGGCCACCTTGGGATGTGTCTGAATGCAGAGAGGAGCGGGGTGGGGAAGCAACGCCAAAACAGCCTCTTCTTGGGTACCCGCAAAGCCAGGCAGTAAATCAGCATTGAGCAACGTGGGCTGGTGCGAGCAGACCTCTGGCAGACCCCTGCCGGATGGCCTGGCAGGATCCTGCTTTGCAAAGCCCACGGCACCCCAAACACCTGAGTTTGGGGCATGAGGGGCTGAGCAGAAATACTTCATCACCTTTTAGGAACAGCCCCTGCAGTGTTGGGGGTTCCCCCTGCTTTTTCGGTAGCTGTGGTCCGGTGCCCAGTGAGACCTGGGCATGTGACCTGTTGTCAGGAGTTCCCCTGCCACAAAGAAAGGGTTTCGGTGTCTTTTCTCTGCCCCAGCTTTGGGGGGCTCAGCTCCGGTGCCCCCGGCGAGGCCTGGGGTCCGGTGAGCCCTGCTGTGACCCGCCTTGCTGTCTTCTCTTGCAGAAATGGCAGCGTCGGTTCTTCATCCTTTACGAGCACGGGCTGCTGCGCTACGCCCTCGACGAGATGGTAAGTGCTGCCCGGCGGAGGCGCGCGGCCACGTTCAGGCTGTGGGGATCAGCCAGGGCCACCTCTGCTGCCCTCGGAGGAGCCTCTGGCGATGCCCCTGGTATGGCGTGGGGAGGTCTCTGCCGAACTGGTGAAGAGTTTTGCTCTCTGGGTTTGACTTACTGCCAGGCTGGGTTTGCGTGGGAGCTTGATGGACGGTCAATGGAGGATGATGGGTGTTTAGGAGGCGTGTGGGTCCCACCTGGCTTGGGGTTGATCAGTTGCTGACAGATCCTGCGCTGGTGGGGTCCTCAGGGTCCCCCCCACTCCTTTCTGCCCTGCCCTGTGCCAGCTGGGGTTTGGTGGCGGTGAATTGCCTTGGCGGTGCCTGGGAAGGAGGTCCTGCCTAGCGATGCCCGTGGAAAGTAGGTCAGCCTTCCCACTGCTTGCCCGCCCCAGAGTCATGGCATGCCGCCGGCGCTGCTCCCCTTGGTAAAACAGAATGGGGAGATGAAAAGAAGGGAAACCCATCCACTGCGAGCTGCAAAGCGGGGACCGATAAGCCCAGCTGGGTCAGCCCTGCTGTGACCGCCCGGGGCCGCTGATTTATCCTCCCGGCTACAGCAAGCCTGTGAGAGGGTGTCCAAGGTTGAGCGTGCCGGCACGGTGTGGCACAGCATGGCAGGTGCCCGCGTGCTGGGATCCGCCTGGGCGGGAGGCTCATGAAACCGGGCACACCGGGATGTGGGGCAGCGTATGTGCACACGCGTGGGGCTGGGACGTGCGGGGACCTGCGTTTGTGACGGGCAGGCTCCCTGCGAGGGCGGCATGCCTTGGTCCTCCGCTGATGCCTCCTGCGAGGGCACTGTGGGATGGGGAGGCAAGGCAGCACAGCGAGCGTTGCTTGAGTTTCATGCCTTGTGTGTTTGTATTTTTTCTTGGGGTCGATTCAAGTGCCCTAAATAATTTAAATGTCTCAGGTAGGAGTGGTGGAGGCTTTCAATACGTTTTTAGTGTCTCAGCAACCTGGCTCTGCACTGGGCTGGTGTTTCATGTCCTGCAGCGACAGGAGAGCGGTGTGCGGCTGGCTGGAGTGGGGAGATGCCCTGATCCATGCCTTGTGTGTTTGTATTTTTTCTTGGGGTCGATTCAAGTGCCCTAAATAATTTAAATGTCTCAGGTAGGAGTGGTGGAGGCTTTCAATACGTTTTTAGTGTCTCAGCAACCTGGCTCTGCACTGGGCTGGTGTTTCATGTCCTGCAGCGACAGGAGAGCGGTGTGCGGCTGGCTGGAGTGGGGAGATGCCCTGATCTGAGGAGAGGCTCCTGCAGCGACAGGAGAGCGGTGTGCAGCTGGCTGGAGTGGGGAGATGCCCTGATCTGAGGAGAGGCAGAAGGATATTGGGAAGCATGATTTTTAAGTGTTTTTTTTTTTTTTTTTGGTTTGGCTTTGCATCCCTGAGAGGTTGACCTGCCCCAGGCACTGCTGCCTCTGGGCAGGAGCAGATGGGCAGTGCCTCAGCCTTGTGGCACCGCTCGCCATCCCTCAGCAGCCCCGTGCCACGGGGGACTGTCGCCAGAGGGCACGCGGAGGATGGGGGAAGCGTCCCGCAGTTCTCCAGGCACCTCTTGAGCTTTTTCCCCTTGAGAAGGGTAAAAGTGGAAAAAAAAACAAAAACCCAACAAAGGGAGCATCCAGCATGGGTTGACCCATGGTGGTCCCAGGCTGGACCCCCTCCTCGGCTGCTGCTGGGTTCCTGCACCCCTCCAGCCTTGCATGCCCTGTGGGACAGCTCTGACCCAGCAGAGCACTGCTGGACAGGGCACCGGGACTTGCTGCCGCCATGGTCCTTCATGGTGCAATGGGTCCCACAGGAGGGCTCGATCTAGTCTTGCCATGGCCATAGATGGAGGAGATGGTCGCGGCTCTCTCCTCATCAGGGTCTGATGGTGTAAAAAATACCCTCCTGACCTTTCTGCAGTGCTCATCACAGCGTGAGATCCACGCTGCTGTTTGCACCAGCTCTGCTAAAGGTGTCTCCTGGCCATAGTTGGGCACGGCCTCCCCTGGCCCCTTCCAGCCCACGGCACCAGAGCATCCCCTGCCATGCTAGCCGGGCTGGGGCAGGAGGAAAAGCCCCCACGCAGGAGGAAACGGGGGGTTTTGTTGCTGCTCAGCCCACGCAGGAGTGGGACCGGGGGGCTGAGAGAAGGACAGACAGGGACCATCTTCTTCCACATGTGGGAACGTGTCCTGTGGCGTGTCCTCTGCTTGACCTTGGGGGAAGTTGTTTTTCTGCCAAACCGCCAGTCCCTGACCCCTCTGCATCGGGCGCCGGCACGGCTCTGCTGACGGGACCGGGGCCGCGCTCCGGCAGCCCGCCATGCCCCCGCACAGTCCTGCCCTCACCCCGTTCCCCGCGGCAGGGCCGGGCTCACTCCCTGCGTGCCGGGAGGCTGTGTTTACAGGGGGTCACGTAACTTCCCGCACAGCTTTTCTGCTGGTCCCCGGGGGTAACCCGTGCCCATTGCAGTCCAGGTTTCTGCTCCGGCAGGACCCTGATCCTGGGACCACCAAGCTCACAGCAAACCCCCTTATGTCAGAACCAAGTGCCCGTGCGGGTGTTAGCCCTCAGCCCTCAGCTGGTCTGTGCGAGGAGGGGGGACCTGTGAGGAGCGGCCGGGTGCAGCGTGTTGAGCACATCAGGGCTCGGCTGCGGTGCAGATTTCCTGCCCGGGCAGGGCCAGAGCGTGGCTCAGAGGGTGCCACAGCTCCAGTGGGTTTGGGACCCTCTGCCACCGTCCCACAGCATCAGGCTGTGACGGCTGAGTGTTGGGGGTCACTGGGGGGGGGACTGGTGGCACTCAGGTCAGGCTGTAAGCAGGCACATCCCCGTGAGGGATGTGAGGACCCAGTCCCGTGCCCACCACACCTCGGGCATTGCTGGCTGGGGTTGCTGGGGGACACTGGTTTCTCCCCTGAGGTGCTTGCCCGTTCCCTGCCTGCGGCTATCCGCCCCTCCGGCTGTGCCAGCTCCTTGCTGTGTCCCCACCATCTCTGTGGGCCAGGGAGGAGTAACGGGGCTGGGGGCCTCGCCCAGGAGGTGCCTCTCCCTCGCACAGCTGGGACACTGGTTTTTGCATGGGGAATCCACTTTGCAGCCTACGCAGGGACGATCTACCCCCAGTGTGCCTCAGTTGCTTCCCCCCCCAGGAGCCGGGTGGGGGTCCCACGGGGGCCTCGGCACGGGGGCGGCCTCCGCAGCGTGCCGGGAGCCGGGCGGCAGCTGGCCGGAAACCTCCCAGGCTGTTGCAAGCAGGGATTGAATTGCTCTGCCTTGAACCTGTTAGACATTAATTTTGTGGGTTTGGCAATTTCTGCTCTTACTAAAAGCAGGAGGGGAGGGAGGGGTGAGCTCGGGAGGGGAGCCCCGGGCTGGCAATGGCGGCGGAGACACTCCCGTGCCTGGACAGGGAGACTCCGCTCCTCGTTCCCGGTGGGTTGGAGAGCAGTGGGGTGTGGAGGGGCACCTCGAAGCCCAGCCACAAGCTGGGGAGACCTCAGGGGGTCTCCAAAGACGTTGGTGCTGTGGTACACAGAGGCCATGGGATAGGGCAGCCTTGGGCACAGGAGCCGTTTGCTGTGGGGTGGGTCAAGTTTGGTGTTGAATTGGAGCATTTTGGGCACGGAAATCCCTTTGCAGAAGGTGGGACAAGCGGGCACCAGCCACCCTGCTGGCATCCAGCTCCCTCCTGAGACCTGCCCAGAGGTGTTCCCGAGCTGATCCCGAGTCTGTGTTCCTGCTCAGCTGCCTTCTTTCTTTATGTCCATCCTTCTATCTGTCTGTCATCTCTCTGCCATATTTTCACTCTGAAAACTCAAACCAGTTCTGCACGATGGCTGCGATGGGGAGGATGCGCACAGGCTATGGGCCTCCATCCCCTCCGATCCAGGCTGAGCTGCCAGACTTGCTCCCCGGGGCCTCCCTCTTTCATGCTGGGTGCTGGCACCCAGAGCCTGCCTGGCTGCTGGGAATGCCAAGGGGAGCGCATCCCCTTCCCCTCCGCGGGGAGCGTGCCAGCGTCTGTTCCCGGCTCTGCCGAGCCCTGGCTAAGCCGAGCCTGCTCAGACGTGCAGAAATTCCTCCCTCCCAATTGTGGGTGGATGTGGAGGTTGTGCGATCGCTCGGGGTTGCCTTCCCATGCTGAACCCCTCGGCACTGGCTTGCTCCTGCTGTTTGATAAACCTCTGTGCTGGGCCAGATGATGTACAGGGCTCGATGTTCCTCTGCAGCAGCTGGAGGATAGCAAAACTGCTCTTACATTGAGTTGAAGGAAGGTAGGAAAGAGGGTGACAGGGAGTCAGGGACAGGCTTGGGGACAAGCTGCTGCGTTGCAAATGCCCGAGGATGTTTGCCCCCCGTGTGTTCCCCAGTCCTGTGGCACTTCCTTGGTTTTCTCAGGAGATACGTTCCCTGATTCCCCATTGCACGGAGTGCGAGACTAAAGCCTGCCAAAAAACCTAAGCCAAGCCAAATGCGTCCAGAGATTTGTTTTGGAGGTGGAAGACTCGCCCAAAGAGCTTAGACCTTTGGTATTTTGGGATATTTGAAACTAGAGAAGATGAAGTCCTTAGCCTGTAGGGAAACAGCCCTGCCCGGGCTGGGAGGGATCGCGCTCAGTCTCTCAAGGGGACGAGGAGGGACTCATGCCAGGATGGTGAGTGAAACCTCCCCTGGCTGCTGCCTGCCCAGCGGCTGCATCCCAGCACGCTCTGTCCAGGGGGAGATGCCCAAACTGGTGCTGGCGGCTACACCCTCTGATGTTGGCCCATGCTGCTCAAGGTCTCAGTCCTCCTGGTAAAAGTCCCCAGCAAAACCACTGCTGCGGTGGGAGAGCAGCCCGGCACCATGGTACCAGGGCGGTTCGGGAGGTTTTGGTTGAGGTATGGGAGCTGCCTCAAAAATGGTGCCGGGGTCAGGGGATGGAGTCAGAGAGTGGCAAGTGCAGAACATTTGCCTC